GGAAGTAAGAACTCACCATTGACAAAAACTGCTGGGAAAATTGGAAAGCAGTTTGGAAGAAATGAGGCATAGACCAACATCTCACACCATATATCAAGATGAGGTCAAAATGGGTAATGGGTTTAAACATAAAGGGTGATACCATAAGCAAATAAAGTGAGCATGGAAATCTATGGATAAGGGAAGGGTTTGTGACCAAAGAAGAGAGAAAGAGGATCATGGGAAGTCAACTGGACAATTTTGATTAATGAAATGTAAAGGCTTTTGGGTTTTTTTGTTTTGTTTTGCTTTCTGTGAAGCAATTGGGGTTAAGTGACTTGCCCAGAGTCACAGAGCTAGTGACTGTTACATGTCTGAGGCCACATTTGAATTCAGGTCCTCCTGACTCGGGGCCAGTACTTATCCACTTCACCACCTAGCTGCCCCAAAAGCTTCTGCAAAAGCAAAACGAATGCAGTCAAAATTAGAAGAGAAATGGGAAATTTAGAAAAATTTACATCAAGTTCCTCTGATAAAAGCATTGTTTCTCAAATATATAGAGAACTGAGCCAAATTTATTGAAATACAAACCATTCCCCAGTTGATATATGGTCAAAGGACATGAACAAGTAGTTCTCAGAAGAACTCAAAGCTATCAATAGTCACATCTAAGTTACTACTGATTAGAGAAATGCAAATTAAAACAACTGAGATACCACTTCACACTTACCAGATTGTCTAACAGGACCAAAAAGAAAAATGACAAATGCTGGAGGGAATGTGGGAAAATTGGGAAATTAACACACTGACAGTGGAGTTGTGAACTGGTCCAACCATTCTGGAGAAAAATCTGGAAATATACTCAAAGGGTTATAAAACTGTGCATTCCCTTTCACTCAGCAATACTACTACCAGGTCTTTATCCCAACAAGAGCAAAGAAAAGGGAAAAGGACCTATTTGTACAAATTATGTTCTTCAAAATGAATTTTGTTTTTATTTTTTCCTAGCTCTATCTTTTGCTAGTTTAATAAACAATTTAATGGAATTACCATAAAGAGCAAATTTAGAATTAATTGTTCTTAGAATATTTAATAGAATTTGCTTGTGAATCTACCTAGTACTAGGTTGGTTTTTTTTTCCTTTAAAAGTTTATTTAAGCTAGAGACCAGGAAGGGATTTAAGAAGTCACTTAATCTCACCCCTTCATTTTACATATGAGGAAACTGAGACCCAGGGAGATTACATGATGCATGAAATGTAATGTAGTATTAATGAACTGTAAGAAATGGGGAAGACAACAAATTCAGAGAGGCATGGGGAGACTCATATGAACAGTTGTATAACTAAGTGAAAGAAACTAGGAAAAAAATATTCACAATGACTGCAACAATGTAAACAGAAGGAACTAAAACCCAAAGCTGAACATCAAGTATAGAGCAGATATAGAACGCCCTGTGTAACTAGCTTGCCCAAGAAAAGATAAAAGAAAATGCTTGAGATGAGCCATAAAGGAAACTGTGTGGTCTAAAGAGGTAGAGTTTTTGAAGTAGTACTTTCTGGCTGGAAAGGCATGAAGATAAGAGAAAGAGTGACATGTTGTGAGAACATGCTCATTAATGAATGCACTCAACTGGTGGCACAGCTAATCTAGACATTCTAGAAAGCAATTTGGACCTATGCCCCCAAAGTTGCTATACTATGCATACTCTGACTCAGCAATACCAGTACTAGGTATATAATGCAAAGACATTACAGGACAAGGAACAGGCTTCATTAAAATAACTCTTTTTGGGGGAAAAAACTGGAAACTAAGGGGGTGGCCATCAATTGAGAAATGTCTGAATGTTGAAAAGACAATCAACTTTAAAAAACTTAAGAACTCCAATCAATGCAATAATCGATTACAATTTCATAGGGCTCAAGATGAAACATGCTAACCATTTCCTAACAGAAAGCAGATAGGCTTGAAACATATATATTTTTAGACAATGACAATGCAGGATTTGTATTGCTGAACTATGCGTAGTTGTTACAGGTTTTCGGTTTTGGTTTTTTTCCCTTTTTTCTCCATTGACTGTAATGACTGAGATGTTTAAAACAATGCTAAACCAGGAAGCAATGTCTCTTTATATACACTTACCAACTTTTCAACTTAAAAAATAAAAGCATTCTCTATCTGACAAAATTGTAAAAAACTCATTATAACAACAGGATTTTTCAAATCATGAATGCAGGTTAAAGAGGAGAGGTGTGGGAAGGGATCAAGTAGCAAATTACTCTCTGATTAGTCAAGTATTTAAATTTCTTTGTTTGCTGTGTTTGTGTGATTTAAAGATGTACACTGTTTCTACTACTGGAATCACTTAAGGGCCCTTTTATTTGTATGCATATCTTGAAACAATTTTATTCTTTTCTTACTGTATTTTCTTATATGACCTGGTCAACTCATTTAGCCTCTTCAATCTATTTCCTCACCTATTACAAGAGGGTCAGACTCCATGATCTCCAAGGCTCCTTTCAACAACAAAATCATTATGCCTCAGCCGTTAAGAATTAAGGTCTCTAGATTTTGTACATTTTCATAGGTACCCATGATCAAAAAACATAATCACCTAGTGCTCCAAATTTCTAGTGATGAGCTTTTTCTACATTTATCTAGACTCCCTATTGACTCTCAGTTAAAATACAAATTCCTCTCATTTAACATTTCCAAAGCTTTTCAAAATCTGGGTACAACCTATTTTTTTCCAGGTATATTTCACTGTATTCCCTCTCAAACATCCTATGCTCAAGCTGACTAACTTATGTGTTGTTTCTGGTATAAAATATTCTCTCATGCCTCTTGAATCTTTCCACAGACTGACTCCCATGCCTCAAATGATCTCTCTCCTCACCTCCACATTCTGTGATCTTCAGATGTCTTCAAGCACCTTAACTGCTGCCTTCTATATGTGAAGCCTTTCTTTCTTCCTTCCCTTCACTCCCATAGAAACACCTCCTCAAGAGACAGCTAGGTGGCCTAGTGAACAGAGCTCTAGAGTCAGGAAGATCAGACTTTAAATCTGGACTCACATACTTACTGGCTGTGTGACCATGGGCCTTATCTGTAAAATGAGCTGGAGAAGGAAATGGCAAACCACTCCAGTATCTTTGCCAAGAAAATTTCAAATAGGGTCATGAAGAGTCAGGCATGATTTAACAACAATACACCAAGCTGTGTATGTGCTGTCTGCTGTTTTCTCAAGTGGAATATTAGGTCCTTGAAGACAGAACGTCTCCTTGTTGTCTCTATATCCCCACTGCCCAGATAAAGTCTTACACAGTAAGGAGTTAATAGATGCTTACTGAATTGATAGATTTAGAAATGGCTTCTTTCTATGTGCAGGGATCTCCCAAATCTATTAAGGATACTTTAATCAAAATCTTGAGATTTATTCTACTAATTCTATTAGGTATGATATTCCTCTTCCCAATGGCTAGGAAATCCCAACATCCAGCTCACCTAACCCCTAGGATTAGAAACAAAGTTTAGGAAATGCCTTTCTCCTGCAAGCTATGAGTGTTCTCATTCACACTCAGTCATACTCCCTTTCCCATGGCCTAAGTCACCTATACCTGGCCTCTTTCTCTTGTTCCCTCTAGAACTAACATTTTATTGTTAAAATTAATTTACTTTTTTAAGTCTTCTTTTACATTGCTTCCACCTCCTGACAATAATTTCACCTCGGTTCTCCCCTAAAGGTATTACATCCTCAACATCTTCAAAGCTATGCCTTCTCACATCGGCCACCAATCACAGAACTTCATTGCTCCTTCTGCCACTTCCAGAATCTACTTCCATTCACCTCACTCAATAACTCCTACCCTGAAGTTCACGTCATTCAGTTCCTGAGCCTTGTTGCTATTTTCCCACCTTCCTCCTTGACTAAAGTATATGGCTCACAATCCTTTTCTCCTACACAATGCATGCCATCATTTTTGGTGATAAATATTCACATTAATGATTCCTCTAATGATAATTAAACTCCTGTTCATCAACCAAACTCTCCTTACTTCTATCTCAGCAATCCACAGAAATGATTGCCTTAAAATTACCTGAAAGTGGTCTAAGATTCATAACTCAGAAATTCCCTCTCTAAGCACTATGTACTATCTTTATACCTTTCAAGCAGTGTCATTCATCCCGAACATCATTATAATTTTTTTCCTTTATTCTTTCCTTTTCTACCAATCTATCACCCATATTCTGGCTTCACTTCCCTCCATTTTCCCATCCATTCAACATAACACAGTATGAGGCAGTCTAGCATAAGAGATAAATTACTAGACTTGGCGTAGATAAGAATTTGGTTCAAATCTCAAAAAGGATACTTAATAAGGGTATGAACAAAGACCCATCCCTTAATCTGTTTAAGTTCCTATTTTCTCATATGTAAAATAGGATTAATAATACCCATGGTAATTATAAAGCTGCTGTATGGGAAAGTATTAGATACCTTATCAAATACTTTGCCAAAATCTAGATCAATCTAGGTATCTAGAGCACACCCTGGATGTAACAGTCTAGTAATCATAATAAGAAAGGAAATGATGGTTAATCTGGAAAGAAATGTCCTTGATAAAAGCTGTCTTATTTTTGTGTTCAACACTCCATTTCCCAAATGTTCACAAACAATGCCTTTAATAATGTTAGATGGCTTTGCTACTAATACAGTTTGCAAAAAAAATATTAAAAACATGCTTGTTAAACATATTTTATATAGTAATATGTGTATATACATAAATATACATGGTAGCTTTTCAATCACATCACTGAGAAATACCACGGAGAAAAAAATTCAGCTACAGATGTATGTCTATAGATACATATAAAGTTTTTATATGTAAACACTGTCATACATATACACATATACATATAATCAATAAAAGGTTTGGATGTTAAGAAAATCATTAAGAAACATTGTGTTTATTTATACTTTTCTTAATAATATGGCAAGAGCAATAAGAAGAAATCATTTACCTCCATTGGTTTAAGCTGAGCATCAAGGTTGATAGCAGGAATTTCTCGGTACCATTCCCAGGATAAATTTCGCTGAACATTAACCTCAAGATTTATTGGTTGCATTATATCTAGTACTTCAGGAAATTGGCCTTCAATAAATTGAGACCTGTGATTAAAAAAAGGTTGTTCTGAGTTGCTTTATAAACAATGAAATAATTTTTTAAAAGTTAATAACAGGATAAAGATCAATATAAGTGTTTATTGTCACATATACATAACAGAAATGAAGGTAGATACAGACAGAATATTTTTTATATTTGTGTCTAGAAAAAGAAAATAATATAGGATTTCCATTTTATAATGAGATATGTATATAGATATGTAATATATCTATATACATATATAATTTATAAAGTACATAACTGAATGCATGAATGTTTTAAAATATTTTGGGAATGTTTTAAAGAGAGGTAACACTCAACTACTCTTAATAATGGATATAAAGAGAATAATTCATTCACAGCATTTCGGTTAACAAGCAGCATAAATAATTGATTTCAATTTCAAGTCTTTTATTTAAATTGAGACAGCTAGGTTGTACAATGGATACAGCACTGGGCCTTGGGGTCAGATGACTCAAGTTCAAATTCAGCCTTAGAATCTTACTAGCTATCTAAACCTGCTTTCTACAGTTCCTTCATCTGTAAAATGAGCTAGAGAAGGAAATGGCAAACCACTCCAGTATCTTTGCCAAGAAAACACCAAAAATTGGGTCACCAAGAGTCAAATACAACTGAAATGGCTGAATAACAACAACAAGAGGTCTTAACAATCCCTGACATATAGCTACTAAAATCATATAGCAGCTCTTTATTACAAAGATTTAGGTTATGGATTAAATCGCTTGAAATTTCACCAATATATGTACTTTTAAAAGCTTTATTTAATAGCCTATGATATGTATATTTTCCTCTGTCTCACAATACAGGTGAAATCAATACTGTAATGTAAAGTAAAATTGTGAAATGCAAATTGTCAACTCTATCATCCACCTATTTTGTGCCCTGCTTTCCTCTTCTATGGAAATATCTTACCTCACAAACTTAGCACAGTGCCTGGAACATAGTAAGCACTATATAAATGCTTATTCCTTCTCTTTCTACACAAATCATTAGCATTTCTGTATACTACCAACCAAATTCAGCATGAAAGTATGAGAGGCAAGAAATTATTATATTTCCATATAAGGAAATTGAGAGAAAAGGTAGCTCTGGGTCAGAGGTTCTAGAACCAGTTAAAAGTGGATGAAAATGGTTATTTGGTTAAAGAGGCTTGAAGTAGGACAAAGGTTAAGCTTTACTTAGAGTGTGCATGCATAATGGTCTCATTAATACTAACTTCTCTGCCCAGAAGGGAGCAATTTCACAATACTAGGCACATTTGATATGTTAACAAGAGGGGTGACACATTAAGGAGTAATATGAAGTGGAAGTATCAGGAAGATTGTAACCCAGAAGAGCAGGGATCAATCTGGGCTCTGAATAGAGGGACAAGAAGGAACTAACTGCATAAAAGGTTTGCCCTGGCTTCTGTCGGTGTCTGTGTCCCTCGAGGGTACCCATACACCCACTTCTTGCAAGAACCATAAATAAATGCTTCCTTTGCTCACTTTGGTTCAATTTTGTTTCCTAAAGGAGAACAGAACTCTGACAGTTTGCAACTAGGCAAGCAGTGGGCTGTGCCAACTCACCCATACCTCCCTAACTCTACCAAGAAGTGTCTGAAACCTGTTTCTAACAAAAGGAACAAAAGAGAAATTCCATTTCAAATAATTAGATAATATATAAAATACCTGGTTGGTGGTTGTTATTTGTCTTTTGTTCTCCAAGAGGATCATGACATCAAGGTAGTGATGCCATGACATGCAAGTGAATTGGATTTAAGTGAGGGAGGGCTGTGCAAAGTCACCAGCCTCACTTTCTCCTCTGCAGCCATCTGGGTCCAGTGGCCAGATATAGATCAGGACAAGTGGAAATGGCCCAGAATTCAGAGGGAGACCTTCACCTTTTCAAGCTAAGGTCTTTAACAGGTCTCAGTTTGACCGAGGCAATGCCCTTTCAGTGATTAAGGCTTAATAAGAAATGAGGCAGAGAATGGCCTCCTTACCAAGTCAAAAAAAAGACAAAAAAAAAATCCACCTAGGAGAGGAAGACCCTCAGGGTTTCTGGCCAAAATATTTATATTCATTCAGAACTAATAAGGATCCAAAACAATGACCAAGTAGGGCTTGGCCTGGGACCTATTCTTGGTCAATCAATGAGACACAGAGTGATTTGGGGTTAAGGCTGGTCTTTGAAAAGGAAAAAAGAAAAGAAAAGAAAAGGTTTCAGAGATAATAATTTACATTCCCTTTGGGCAGAACACCCACAGGTAAGGGTGTGACCTAGGTGGACCTGGAGAGGTAAGGAAGTAGGGAAGGAAGGAATACTTGGGAATTACCAATAGGAATTATATTAATATAATATTACAAAACACAGTTTAAGGAAATAAAGACAAATCTAAATAACTGAAGAAATTTTGTTTCTTCATGAGATCAAGTCAATATAATAAAAATGACAATATTTACCTAAATGAATTTGCTTTTTTCAAGTGTAAACCAAACGATCAAAAGATTATTTTACAGAACTAGAAAAATTAATGAAATTTATCTGGAAGAACAAAAGGTAATAAAAAAAATCTCAAGTGAAATGAGAAATGCACACACAAGAAGGGACAGAGCCAAGATGGTGGAGTAAAAGCAGTGACTTGCTTGAGCTCTCCCCCAAACCCCTCTAAATACCTATAAAAATGGCTCTAAACAAATTCTAAAGCAGCAGAAGCCACAAAAGGACAGAGTGAAACAAACTAAAAGCCTAAGACAGCCTGATTGGTTGAACAGAAAGGTATATCATGCTGACCAAGTAGAAGAGCGCAGTTCAGCATGGCGCTCAGGCAAGTCAGGCCTCAGCGAAAACTGGAGAAGGCCACAGAGGACTGAATCACGGGCAGCTCTGGCGGTTTCCAGACTTCTCAACCCACCAACGCCAAAGGCAACTTAGAAGGTCAGTGGGAAAAGTCTGTGTCCACGATGAGAGGGAGAAGCGTGGGGTCCCAGCTCCAGTCCCCAACCTCAGCCCTGGGGTGGCAGTTGCTTCCAGAGCTTCCGGCCCACAGACTGAGGGGGAATTGAGGGGCTGATCAGAGGGGGATTGTAGGCATCTCTCTGCTGGCGCAGGAGTCTCTTGCTTTGCCCGTGCTTGGATCTGGGTCACAGTTCTGGGTGGCGGTTCTGGGGCAAGGAGGAGCACTGGCATGGTGGAGCTTGTAGTGGCAGTGAAGAGAAAACTGTCCTTGCAGTTCCAAGAAAAAAATGAGTGCTTGTAGTCACTCATAGACCAGAGCACAGGCCAGGAAAGGACTAAACACCTCACCCATTTATCATACCACCTTGGAAGAACTGAAAATTTACAGGTTCCTAACAAGTATCTCTGAAAACACCCGCAAAAACCCCCTGAAGCCTGGGACAGTACATTTTCCACACTGGAAGCAGACCCCTACCTTAACAAAGTTTATAATTCAAGTAATTGGCTAAGATCATGAGCAAGCAGCGCAAAAAGAGTCAGACTACAGAGTCTTACTTTGATAACAAAGAAGATCAAAATATACAACCAGAAGAAGACAACAAAATCAAAACTCCTACATCCAAAGCCTCCAAGAAAAATACGAATTGGTTCCAGGGCATTGCATGAGCTCAAAAAGGATTTTGAGAGGCAAGAAAGAGAAGTAGAGGGAAAACTAGAGTGATGCAAGAAAATCATGAAAAACAAGTCAACAGCTTGCTAAAAGAAACCCCCAAAAAATACTGAAAAAAATAACACCTTAAAAAATAGCCTAACCCAAATGGCAAAAGAGGTCTAAAAAGCCAATGAGGAGAAGAATGCCTTAAAAAGCAAAATTGGCCAAATGCAAAAGGAAGTCCAAAAGCTCACTGAAGAAAATACTTCCTTAAAAATTAGAAGGCAGCAGTTGGAAGCCAGTGACTTTATGACAAATCAAGACACTGTAAAACAAATCCAAAAGAATGAAAAAATACAAAACAATGTGAAATATCTCATTGGAAAAACAACTGACCTGGAAAATAGATCCAAGAGAGAGAATGTAAAAATTATTGGACTATCTGAAAGCCATGATCAAAAAAAGAGCCTAGACATCATCTTTCAAGAAATTATCAAGGAAAACTACCCCGATATTTTAGAACCAGAGGGCAAAATAAAAATGGAAAGAATCCACCCATCTCCTCCTGAAAGAGATCCCCAAAGGAAAACTCCTAGGAATATCGTAGCCAAATTCCAGAGTTCCCAGGTCAAGGAGAAAATATTGCAAGCAGCCAGAAAGAAACAATTCAAGTATTGTGGAAACACAATCAAGATAACACAAGATTTAGCAGCTTCTACATTAAGGGACCGCAGGGCATGGAATACAATATTCCAGAGGGCAAAGGAGACAGAATTACAACCAAGAATCACCTACTCAGCAAAACTGAGTACAATCCTTCAGGGGGAAAAAATGGTCATTCAGTGAAATAGAGGACTTTCAAGCATTCTTGATGAAAAGACCAGAGCTGAATAGAAAATCTAACTTTCAAATACAAGACTCAAGTGAAACATGAAGAGGTAAACAGGAAAGAGAAATCATAAGAGACTTGTTAAGGTTAAACTGTTTACATTCCTGCATGGAAAGATGATATTTGTAACTCATGAGATCTTTGTCAGTATTAGAGTAACTAGAGGGGGAAAATATCTTCCATTTATTTATTTATTTTAGGCAATTGGGGTTAAGTGACTTGCCCAGGGTCACACAGCTAGTAAGTGTCAAGTGTTTTAGTCTGAGGCCGGATTTGAACTCCGGTCCTCCTGACTTCAGGGCCAGTGCTCTATCCACTGCACCACCTAGCTGCCCCAGAGGGAAAAAAATTATAGATGGAATGATAGATACATACATACATACATGCACACATACATACATACATACATACATACACACACAGAGGGCACAGGGTGAGTTGAAGGTGAAGGGGTGATATATGGAGAATAAAATTAAGGGGTAAGAAAGGATTATATGGAGAGAAGAAGAAAGGGAGAGGTAGAATGGGGTAAATTATCTCACATAAAATAGACAAGAAAAGGCTTTTACAGTGGAGGGGAAAGGGGGAAAGGTGAGTGGGAATGAGTGAATCTTATTCTCATCAGATTTGGCTTAAAGAGGGAATAACATGCACTCAACTGGGTATGGAAATCTACCTTACCCTACAGGAAAACAGGAGGGAAGGGGACAAGAGAGCAGAGGGGATGATAGAGAGGAGGGCAGATTGGGGGAGGGGGTAACCAGAAGCAAACACTTCTGAGGAGGGACAGGGTCAAAAGAGAAAATAGAATAAATGGGGGGCGGGACAGGATGAAAGGAAATATACTTAGTTTTTCACAACATGACTACTATGGAAGTGCTCTGCATGACTACACATATATATAACCTGTAAAAAAAAGAAAAAACCACACCTAGAAGAGCACTTCGTGATTTTTGAAAAAACCTCTCACAATTTGTCATTTCCCATAAAAACATTAACTATATTCCCAGGTATCACAGGTTTAGCTAGCTTGTGGCATGTGGTCCTCTAGTTTTATTGCAATCCTTGCCACTAGAAATCTTTATAAAAGGAGCTTTTCCATTCCTTTTATTAAAATTTTTTCAATTAACAAACATTTGTTTCCTATTCCTCCCACCTTCCTGGCTGGAAAAGAAAAAAGATAAAAATTTTTTTGTAATGGCTAAGAACTGGAAATCAAATCAATTGAGGAATGGCTAAACAAGCTGTGGTATATGATTATAATGGAATATTACTGTGCTATAAAAAAAATGACAAGCAGGACGATTTTAGAAAAAAACCTGGAAAGACCTAAATGAACTGAAAGAAAGTGAAGTGAACAGAACCAGGAGAATGTTGTGCATAGTAATAGCAATATTGTTCAATGAAGAACTGTGAGTGACTTAACTATTCTCAGCAACACAATGATCCAAGACAATCCCAAAGGACTAATGAAGAATACCATCTGCCTCTATAGAAAGAATTGCTATTGACTGCATACCGACTGAAGCATGCTTTTAACAAAAAGAGAGAGAGAGAAGAACAAGAAGAAATAATGAGAAATAGAAGGAAAACAGACGACCTAAAAGTACCAGATTTCAAGCTGTATTACAAAGCAATTATCACCAAACCAACTTACTACTTGTTAAAAATCACAGCGGTCAATTAGTGGACATAACATCTAGAAGTAAACAAATGTAGTGTTCAACAAACCCAAATACAAGTATCTGAGGCTGATGGGGTGAAGGTGCCTGGACCCCTAAAAGGTAAAGATCATGTCTTTGAAAGCTATGGCCCTTGCCAGCAGGAAGTAGTTCCCTTGAATTTTCCCTCACAACCCAGTCCCGGGTGGTTTGCCTGAGGCCAGATCTGACCCATCCCAACCCATCTAGATACTCAATAATCCTTTTAACTGCCCTTTCACTGTGGCTCTCTGACATCTAACTTGGTTCATTATCTGTGCCTGGATCACCCCAGGCTATTTACCCACTCCTTAATCCCATCCAGATCTTCTCACTGTCTTTTCTTGTATATAAGTACCAATCTTACCCCCATTAAATTGCAGATTCACTTAGAATCTAGTCTGCTTCTATTGGCCTCACAAATAAATCTTGCCTCGTTAACTGAAAGGTGTGAACGTGTGAATTCCTTAGAGGCAGACTTATCCTGTGCCCTTAGGGCATTTTGGGGTTCCCAGGACCTCAAACCACCACAAGGACACATCTTAACTCAGGCCCTCCAGACTCCAAGGCTGGTGCATTATTCACTGTGCCACCTAACTAACCCCTTGTATTGGTTTGTTTTGTTTTGGCTTTTGTCCAAATACTGTAGTTACAAATGTAAGAATTATTTTAAAAAAATACTTGGAAAACTAGACAGCAGTCTAGCAGGAATTAGGTTTTGAACAACACTTCACACACATTATTTTCCTCCTTAAACCTTCCCCCACACAACTCCCTTCCGTATTACTGACCAGGTCAACACCTTTCTCCCAGTCCCTCTGGCTCACAATTTAAGAGTCATCCTGGATTCCTCACTATCTCTCATCCCCTATACCAATCTGTTGCCATGACATTCGATTTCACCTTTGCAACATCTCTCGAACATACCTGCTTCTCTTCTCTGACACTGCCACCACTTCAGGGGGGCCTTCTTCACCTCATGCCTAGATTATTGCGATAACCTGCTGGTAGGTCAGCCTGCCTTAAGTCTCTCTCCACTCTAATCCATCCTCCATTCAGCCACTAATGGGATTTTCCTAAAATGCAGGTTTGATCAGGTCCCTCCCCTACTCAATAAACTCCAGTGGCTCCCTATTGACTCCAGGAGCAAAAATATAAAATACTCTACCAGGCATTTAAAGCCCTTTATAACCTACCCCCCTTCTATCTTTCCAGTCTTACACCTTACTCCTCCACACCTGTTCATCCAGTGACATTAGCCTCCTAGTGTCTGGCTGTTCCACAAACAAGATACTCCATCTCTTGACTCCAGGCATTTTCTCTGGCTGTCATTCACGCCTGGAACACTCTCCTTCCTCTGCTCTGACTTGTCTCTCTGGCTTCCTTTCAAGTATCAACTAAAATCCCTCCTTCTACAGGAAGCCTTCCCAGATCCTTCTTAATTCCACTGCTTTTAATTATTTCCTATTTAGCCTGCAAAAAGCTTGCTTTGTATATACTTATTTGTATGTTCTCTCTCCCATTTGATTGTAAGCTTCTTCAGGGCAGGGACTATCTTTTGCCTCTTTTTGTATCTCCCAGCACTTAATGCAAATCTTGGCACATAATAAATGCTTAATAAATATTTATTGAATGAATGAATGAATTAAACTTAGAAGGAAACTCAGTGGCCATCTAATTAACCAGTATGGGACCAAGAATTTCTTGAATGCCATCTACAATTCACAGCCATCTAGCATTTGCTTGAAGATTTCCAGTGAGGAGGAGCCCACTACTTTCTCAAACAGCTAGTAACACTTTTCAACTACTAGCATTATCAAGAAGTTTTTTTTCTTAATTTGCCTCCTTACAATTCCAACCTGTGCTCTGTGGGACAAGAGAAGACAAATCTCACTCAATTCTGACTCGCTTTCTGTACTTCTCAACCTCCTTGCTTATAGCCTTCCCACCCTGGAGATACCTCCTCCCTAAAGTTTGCTCTCAAGAGGAGTGTGTCCCTAGACTATACTTTCATTTCATGAAGGGCTCCAGCTTTGTTCACTTCACTACCAACTTGACTCACCCTACGGATTTCTCCACTACTCACCCAGGAGCATTGTCCTCATCCTCCATTTTTCTTCCTACTCCTTTATGACTCTTTTTTATGTATTATCTTCCCCCATTAGAATGTAAGCTCCTTAAAGGTAGGTACTGTATTGCTTTTTATTTGAATCCACAGTTATTGGTACACTCTAAAGGCTTAATGAACACTTTATCAATCTGACCTCCAAATAATCAAAAAATGGTATCATATGCAATGCCTTTTTTTTCCTATAAGCTAAACATCCCGAATTCCTTCAAATGATCGTCATTTGGCATGTTTTATGACATCCTTGTTGCCCTCTTGTGAATACAGTCTAGTGTGTCTATGTCTTTCCTAACAGTGCCCAGAACTAAACATAATACTCTAGATATGGTGTCATCAGGGCAGATTACACATTTTAAGATTCCATAGGATGACTTTACTTAGGACAAGTGTAAATCTTCTCATGTTCAACTCCTAGTATTTTGAAGGTATGAAAGAGTGTGTAAGATAACAGATGGCAGTTAAGAATTCCTCTGTCAAGAAAATATACTCCCCAAACAAGCAACTGTGTTATTTCCCAAGGCTATTAAGCCTAATGTACAAGTAAACAAAAACATATCTCAAATATTCAAAAAGGTCATCAAAAGGAATGTAGCACAATTTAATGTTAAAACTGTGAAACTTTAGGCTATTAGCCTAAAACTGCACTAATACTTTTGGGATACCCTGTATATTAGGTCTCTCTCTTAAACTGTAACCTCCAAAAGTTACAAAGAACTATGGAAATAGTATAAATAAACCTCAAGTTGTTAAATTTGTAAGAAAGAACAATTATTCCATTTGATTCTACTTAAAACATATTTCCATATTCACAACTGTAAATGAACAGTTCAATTAATGAAAACAGCAGGACACCAATCAATATTATAGCAACAGGTTGTCTTTCCTAGGAATACTTGGGAGGAAAAAAAAAACCTTACACTTTATTGTAGGTTAAAGGAAAAGAAAAACAGTTCCCAAGTAGCATAAAAACCTGAGGTTCTTTATCCTACATAATCAAATCAGTATACCCACCAACAAACATTTATACCTGTAGAGTTTCATCTCACTCATCCTTACTGTTATATCATCAATAACAGGTGGAGGGTTAAAGTGGCTCTTTGAAACCATGTAGAACTTGTTCTTCATTGTAATTAGCCCAAAATCAGCAACTAAGACATTTTCGGATGCTGACGACTGTGGGATTACTACAACAGGTGCTTTGATATGAATATCCAATGCCATTCGGGAACTCCTTTTTGCCAGTTCTTTTACACCACCAGCTATACCTGTTGCTTGAACTGTTGCTTCAGTCAAAGCTTCTTTTGCTCTTTGAAAGTTGTTTATAAAAGCCTGTAAGAATTACAGAATTACATTCTTGATGCTAGTTTTAGATGCCTGAAGTTATTAAATCAAAATTATTACTAAATATATATCAATTTTTATAATTTTTTTGGTGCTATCATATAGGTGATTCATATGTTTTCAATACCTCACACACGCCCTTTTTATTTTTCCTGCTCTTGTACCGGAGATTAAGAAAAAGATACTGGTATTTTTTAAAAATCTAGTTACTGGAACTAATTAGCATTTAGATGTAAGAATTTAAATAAGTTAAAATCTGAAAACAATGCAAAATAAGAGCAATAAGCATCCAATATAGATGACAATAATTCCATACACTGAATATCATGTTATGAGGATTGTTGTGAAAAAAGTGTTTTGTAACCCTTAAAGCACTATAGAAGGGGGGGGGCGGCGGCGGCGGTGGCAGTGGTGGTGGTGGTGGTAACTGAGGTCTATGGAAAATCTTTGTACTTCATTTTAGTATTAATTCAAAGTTTAGAACTATGGTTCCCCAAACTCTGTACTGCAAATTCACAGAGAAGCCACAGGACATTTTAAATATTTTTGAGGGAAATATAATGATAGTTGACATTTGAGGCACCACAAACTACTAGCTCGAGTTAATTCATAGACGATGCTATGCTCTTTTTGACATTCTTGGACATTGGAGGTTTTTATGTTCACATACATTCAGCTATACCAGTAAACTCTGAAACTTTCTCATTTGTAATGTCATATCTTTGTGAAGCTGGATTTTGGTGATTGCTGTGATAAAAAAAGCAAGTGCTACATGAAAATCAACAACATGGAACAGGAAATGAAGGTGGCAGTGCCTAATCCTATTTAAAAGTCTGAAAAGCTGTGCAGGGCCCAACAAGTATATTACAGGGGGTAAAAAAAAAACAACAACAACTGTTTTGTAACCTTTAAAGCATTACAGGAATGTAAGTATTTGATGGTGGTGGTGGAAGTAGTAGGTGGAAGAAGAAAAGGAGAAACAGTAGTAGAATCAACAGTTAGTACTACTACTTTCATAAGAAAGCACCTAAGGTCCCCTCTAATTATCTATTTATGCTTATTTTAGATATAATTCTAATCACTTTGCTTTTCTGATTCCCCAGTCCACACCAGCATAAAGTAGTGAAGAAATGAGAAAAGTAGTGAAACGGGATGGGAGAAGAGGAACTATTAACACAGTGATAGTTACAAAAAAATAACATCTCATGGTGAAAGGAGAAACATACAGATGGTAAAAAGCAGATGCAAGAACTCAAAAGCAAAGCAGTTTAGAGACATTTAGCAGGGGGAGGGCAAACATTTCTACAGATTTTCATAGGCTCTGATATATCAGAGAACAAAAAATTCACAATGGCTGATAAACCACAGACATATAGATCAGTTACATTCAAATACTGTTTAAGCAAGAAAGGTGTTTGAATAATATAGTTTTGAAAGCCTTCCATCAAAATGGTCAAATTTTCTGGAAAAGTCACTTATATTGTGCTTTACTCCCCAATTATCCTAAATAATTAAGGCCTTATTGAATTTATTATTATTTTAAATAATTTTTAAAAAAAGAAACAGTTGTTACATACTTACCATTACAGAATATAAAAATTTCATCATTAAAACAACTTCAATGCAGCCAACAGTTAAAGTAACCTCACTGTCAACTACATTCATATTCATATATTCAGCACCAGCAGTAGCACCCATATAAGAAACCATTTTGAAACTGAAGACTTCTTTTCCAGTTATATAAAGAACCTTAAAGAAGAAAGATAATTTAATTATAACAAGCCAACATAACTTCCATCTTCAAAAATACTCCAATAACAAAATACTACTACTTTGAAATCCCTCCACTGAAGTTCAACTAACTAAACAGAAAAAAACAAAAAACAAAAAAAAACAAACCCAGTCAACCATTCCAATAATGGAAGGAAGGAAAGGCAACAGTGACAAAGCAAAGACCTCATAAGAAAACCTTTTCAATATCTGCATGAGCACTCCACACAACTATTACCTTCAGGTCAGAGAAACTCCAATATAGATCAGTGCTTTTCAAACTATGTGGCAAAAGAAAAATATGGTATCGTGATACTATTACTTGGTGTTGAGGGAACTGGCCTCTCATTATCATAATCTGAATCTTTCTGATTTGAAACATCTGTTACAAAGCACAAATCCACCGTTTTTATGGCATACTTATCTCTCTAGCCCTCTTCTGTCATCTCCTAATTCTTTCAATCTCTCAGACTTTTTTTTTTAAGCCACCACTCAGTTATCCTCTAAATACCTTCTGCTTACTTATGTGGAGATATGTTTAACTAAAAAGAAGGTAAGCTCTTTGTGTACAGGCACTGTTCTGATTTTGCTTTTGTATCTTCAGTGCCTTGCACATAGTAGATACTTATGTTTGCTGAAATTTAATCTATTCTACCTTTAATCAAGAGCAAATTCGCCATTTTGTCTTTCCTATTTCTTAGCCAGCCTTTGCTACTAATTTTAATCTTCACTTAAACCAGAAAGAATTAGAAAGGCAACTCCACTAAAAACAAAAGTCATACTTAAAAAATAATTATAATCTTTTTTTATTTCATTTAGATTATATGTATATTCTATCACATACCTACTTTAAAAACTAATAGGATTTTTCAATGTAATTTTATTATTTTTTCCAATTAACAAGCATTTATTTTCTTTTCCCTACCACTATGGAAAGTACTGCTATAAAAATTTTTGCTAATATGGGACATTTTCCTCTTTCTTTGATGCTTGAATACAAACCTAGTAATGGTATGGCTGGGTCAAAGGGTAAACACAATTTAGCAAATCTGGGAGCACAGCTTCAGACTGTTTTCCAAAATGACTGGATCAAGTCAAAGTTCCTCGAAAAGTGCCTATTTTCCCTCATCACCTCAAAAAACGGTCATTTCCCTCTTTTGTCACTGTTGTCAATCTGTTGGTTAAGAAACAGAACCTGAGAGTTATTTTAATTTACACTGCTCTTAATACTAATGATTTTAGGTAATTTTTTATGTAGCTGTTGAGTTTGGATTTCTTCTTCCAACTGACAAATGGCTCAATCTTATATGCTTGAATGAATTAATTGCTTACAAATCTTGGAAATAAGACCTCCATCAGAGAAATGTGCTGCGTGGATGTTTTCTGCAGGTTACTGTTCTCCTTCTGATTTACCTGTATTAGTTTCAGTTGAGCAAAAACTTCTAAATTTTATATAATCAGAACTGTTCATTTTATCTTCCTGTGTCCCTCCAGTTGTTAAATGACTGCTTTTGGACTTTCCATCTAACCTGACTTACATTTAGGGTTTTCTACAGGATTACGACAATCTTTTTGTAGTAGTCTTAGATTAGGCAGAAGATTTTATAGCTTTTTTTTTTAATCTGGTACATTTTTAGATCTTTCCTAGGATATTTGTAGAAGATCTGGGCTCTTCTCTTCTAGGTCCTAACACATCAACATTTTCCCACTAATGGAAACTACCTATACGGTAGAAACCTAGAACAGGTAACTGTTTGCCATCCATTAACCAAAAAAGCTCCAGGAAAGAGTTAGGAGATTTGGGTTTTAATCCTGGGTCAAATGAACAAATGACTGTCACCTAAAGCAAGTCACTTAATCTCTCTGAGCCTTACTACTTTCCTCAGAAGGAAGATCACAACACTTACATAAAGAACTAAGGAAGCTTTGATGTTCAAATGGAAAAATATGTGTGAATATTTATCCCTAAAATAAAAGGTATACATAACTGTCATGTCACAGTATTTATTAATTTATCAAATACTCCTAGAAGAAGCTCACTTCTTGCAGAAAAACCAGCTTGATTTGTGGAAAGAAGTGTACAGTGCATTAACTGTCTGACCCTTCTGTACAACATGCCTTCACTTAAACCAGGCTTTGTACAGCATACATCTAAAAAAGTCAGCTATTGTGCTAGTTTCATCAAAAAATATGAGATTATATAAGGTAGAAACACATTCCTCACAGTGCTACGTAATCCTCTAAGTCCTTTTAATAAAGCAGTATGTTTAATGGAAAAGCCCTAGACTCAAATTCAGGAGTCATCAATATAATATTTATTGAAAGACCACTGTATGCAAGGCACTGTGCTACCTTCAAATAACAGTATGGTGAAGTGGAATGAGCACTAGAGTCAGAAGTCAGGCAAACATTTAGTACCTGGGCTCTAGCACTTAATACCAGCACTAGAGGTGGAAGTCATGCAAACACTTAATAACTGGGTTCTATGTAGCACTTTGATATTTCTCATGGGCAAGTCAACATTCCTAAGGCTGCTTCTACTTATAAAGTAAATCTTCTATATGAATGAATTATTAATCTAGAAGAAGCAGTCTATATGCTACAAGATCCCTGAGCAGAAGGAATAAGAAACACAAAAACATACAAGGTAACGTGGGCTACCATGCCTAAGAGAAGCTCAAAATACTGTAGAATTCAATTTAGACCAGTTTGGTGTGGAAATCAGAGAAGATTTTGTTAAAGATGAGGCATCAGAACTAGACCTTTAAGTATGAGTAGGAATGAAAACTTGATTTTAGAGAAAGGACATTTTAGGTGTCAGATCTGTTACACTAAAGTACACACATGATGACAGAAACTAATTACTAAGTTAGAAAGGGCAAAAACAGTAGGTGGATATTAAAGAGCCAAAGATCATTGACCATATGTATAAAAATATTTATATTAGTTCTTTTATGGAGCAAAGAACTGGAAAGTGCACACTCATCAATTTGGGAACAGCTGAACAATTTATAGTAAACAAATGTGATGGAATACTATTGTGCTATAAGAAATGATGAAGAGAATGGTTTCAGAAAAAACCTGGGATGATCTGCATGAACTTAACAAAGTAAAAAAAGCAGATCCAGGAAAATAATTTATACAGTAACAGCAGTACTGTAAAGATTACCAACTTTGAAAGACTTAGTAATTCTTAACACAATAACCAACCACAAGTCCAAGGAATTCATGATGAAACATGCTATCCACCTCCAAAAAAGAGAATAGATTCAAGAATGCCAAATGAAACATAATTTCTTCTATTTCTTTCTTTTTTTTTACTTTTTTAAAAAAACTTAGCTAAATCAAAAATTTGTTTTGCATATTTATACATCTTTGTAATGAGTTATTTTTCTTGCCTTCTCAATGGATAGAAGAAGGACTGAGGGGAAGGAAAGTATCTGGAACTGAAAATAAAACTGAATTTAAAAGAAATTTTTAAGTACTAGAAAGTATAAGAATAGGCCCTCAGAGGGTCAACTACCTCTTCATTTCCCATGTAGCGGCACTACTCTGGACATGGGAGGGAGAGAATGTGGACCTGAAAATAAAATAAAATTTAATTAAAAAATTTTTTTAATAAATATAAAATAAAATGAGGGATCTTGTCTATCAGTATAACACCATTTTTAGCCTCAAAGGTTTTTCACCTGTAACACATGATTCTAGTTTTATTAGTGCTAATATCAGTCCCAGATGTTACTAATCAGCAGCATGATTTGGGGTAAATCACCATCTTTCTTTCCCTTCATTTTCCTATTTACAAAAAAGAAATGTCTAACTATGTAGACTCTGAGGTCCGTTCTCAAGAATTCTTAACAAAAAGATTTTCGATTCTCACAAGTTCTTTGCTCCATATGCTCCTTTCCTTATCTTGAATTAACAGACAATATTGATAAGGAAAATAATTATTTTTACCTTAGAAATTAGGATACAGCATAGCATATGCCATTCTTTTCAAAAAGGCAACCTTAGTACAACAATATGGTAAGACTTTTTCTTGAAAGATTGAGGGTAAAGCATTGTATGAAGAATTAAGAGGTTAAGTAACTTTCTTATAATCTTGATGGCAATATTTGTTGTTATAGGCAGGATTTAAACCATGGTCACCCTGACTCCAAAGTCACTGACTGGTAACCCGACTCTAAATTACATTGTCTCCTTACGAGACTTTAACAGTAGGTATTAATAAATACCTGTTGAATTGGATTGAATACAGGAGTTGAATTACAGATACTAATCAAATTATTTATTTTTTTTAAATGTTGGGCATAAATCTTAAAATAAAGGTTAATGATCATTCTCTTCATGGCACAGGTTTCCATCATAACAGAATTCTAGCTCCCCTTCTGGGCTGTAGTCAAGCACAGGAAAATATAGAAAATATAAGTGTAGCAATTCAGTAGGTAAAGATCATAAAATGACCCTATTCATATGACTTGGTTTCCAAAATAGAGAAAAGTACAAAGTAAATTCCCACATGTGTCTTCCCAACAAACATATTCAACTGACTGCTAGACTCATAGAAGCTTAAAAATAATTCTATTTTTCATAGTGTCTATGAAGAAAATTAGTAAAAGGTACAAGGTTGGAAAGTATCTTTTCAACACCACAGTTAAATGGCAACTTCCTTTTTTTCTACCTCCATAATTCAGCATCTACCACACCTGACAATTCTCTTCTCTTTGTCTTTAAATGTCTACCTTTAGTGTCCTACCCCTTGGTATTTAAATTCTTCTGCCATGTGACTCCAACCTATCTTTGTAAGCTTATTTCACATTGCTCTTTTTCATATACTTTATAGGTTAGCCAGACTAGAGTAACACTGCGATGCCAGACTGTGTGCTTTCCACAGCTTGTTTCCCTCACCTCTGCTTCCTTAAAGACTCAGTTTAGGTGCTAGCTCCTATATGAAGAAGATCCTGATGATCTAACCCATG